TCTTAAYAATTATTGATTTGTGTGATTGAAACAGGTGTGGCTAGAGGATCAGGGAGGCAAGATATTGGAGCTTATGTAAACCTAGCTGCATATTATCTCTTTGGAATACCAACTGCTATTATATTAGGTTTTAGGTTTAAAATGGGAGGAAGAGGATTATGGAYTGGTATTACAGTTGGGTCATTTGTACAATCTGCTTTRCTCGGTCTTATCGTTAGCCTCACCAAYTGGAAACAACAGGTTAGTAATAGTGAAAGTGATGTATGTCCTTTTGGTATGTTGGTTTCATCATTCATGGTTGGATTTTTGATTAGTCAATTTGAGAAAGTGATGAATATTGTAATATATGTGAATCATATATATGTGAGAATGCAGGCGAGAAAAGCGAGGGAGAGAGTGATGGRTGATGAGTTTGAAGAGAAAGATAGTGAAGAAAATGAAGAGATGATCATCAGCTAAATCAAGAGACTTTCAATCACTTTTGGCAATTAATGTTGTGTTTTTATTAGGTCGATTTTTGTTTGTTTGGGTGTTGTTGTTTTCGATTATAGTAATGAGGAAATTGAGTATTGCACATGTTAACGTGCACGTAGACGTGATGTTATTTTTCTCCCTTTTTTGTGTTCCTTTTCTTATAGAAGGTTAATTCATTAATCATATGATATTGTGCAACGTTTAAAAAAGTTATCGATGATATATCTACACATAAGAAATATGACTAACACAGAATTAAGTATTGAAGACTTGGAGGCTAGGAAAGTGTTGGAATGATTTGTAGGAGCCATGATCTTCACATAGTCCATGTCCACTAACTATTTGATGGTTTAGTTAGGGATTCAATTCTCCTTGCAAGGGAATTATATCCGCTTTTACTCCGGTCTAACGGGTGTATGAATTTCGGTTTAGAACCTCTAGACTATAAAAAACTTTTTGGGTGCGGTCACACAAAATATCAGAACACTTCCATCACTAGAGTATTTTAAGTGGAGTTTTCATCCACAAAATATTAATATTTTAGTGCAGTTTAGTTATTTAAATAAAATTAATTATTTTAAAAAATAGAGCCAATTAAAAATAACCAAATGTTATATGAGTTTTTCATTATTATTTTGAAGTTTTTTTATTTGAGAAACCATTTCACTCTCTCTCTACATTTTCTATTTTTGTATTCTTAAGAAACACATTGGATATCTAGCATTGGACATGCTCTCACCTCATTAAGAAGTTGGAGTCATTTGATTTGGTGATTTGGTATGGTTTTTATTAGTGATAACTTATAACCCAAGTTACAAATACAAGTTGAATTAAGGCAAAATCCATGAAGGCCTTTTTAGGAATAATAAAAGATTGTACAAAGTAAGCGAAGAAACACGGGCCTTCTTAACATAAACGGCGTCGTTTTCCTGGAGGAAGCGTTAGAAATAAGAAAAGTTTTCAGATTGCAATAAAAGCCCTAACGTAGCCAACAAATTACAACTTTTAAAGTTAGGGCTTACGAGTAGAGAGGACTTGGAGAGGTGAAGGAAGACGAAGATGGCGAAACCAAACAGTGAAGAACTGAATCTAATCCTTAACGCTTATCGCAACACCATCAACGATACTCTCCAGGTTTTATATTTGTGTTTTGTTATGTGTTAAATTCGTTATGAAATTTGTGTTGTGTAACCCTGATTACTGATTTAAACAAGGGATTTGTTGGATTTTGCAGTTGTTCGAGCGATCGACGTCTCCGACACAAGACAAATTAAGCTGGAACGATGTTCTTGAGATGTCTGATCACCTCTCCAAACAAGCCACCATAGGTTTAATGTCTAATTAATTACTGTCTTTTCGTAACCAATTCGTTTACTGTTTTAAATCGTTTCTTCTTTTGGGTTAAACTCCATTAGTGGGAATGCTATGGATTGGAGAATCTCCAAATGCTGAAGCATTGAAGGAGACAATGGAGTCATACTTCAATGCTCTTCAAGGCTTCTTGTTGCATTGCCATGGAAGTATGGTTGGTGCTGGACCTACACTTTCTTCATCCAGACAAGCTTCTGTGAAGCAAATCGTTGATTCCAGTTTCAGATTGTTGCAGGGTTCTGTTTCCTTATACGGTATAAGAAAAGACTATGTTCTTCTGGTTCTTGATTTAAGATTACTTAAACTATGAATGATTGATTTTCTTTCTTGGGAACTAGGAGGATCATATGAGAAAGACAAGAAGCCGTCGATTCCGCAGCTTACAGGAGCATTGTGGGAGACATGTTCCAATCTAAAGAAAGTTCCTTCAACAAACATTAAAGCCATCGGTCGTGCGATGAGACAGGTCGCTGTTTCGGTGAAGGATGTTCTTAGGGAGATGAAAGAAGTCAAGCCAGCTTGTGATTCACCCGACCATGATGCTTCTGCAGATGATGAAGATGAAGAATTAGGCAATGACTTGTCTCCTCAAGAACTAGCAGTTGCTAAAAAGGTAGCTTATATTGTGTCTGAGACGCTCATGATGATAAAAGAACTCATCGGCGTTATTACAAACACGATTAAGCTGGAGAATCCAGAGGATAACGGTGGATTTGTGGATTTGCTTGAGAAGTTATTGAAATCGTGTCAAGGAATTGGAGTAGAGATTGATGAGCTTGGAGCTTGCGTTTATCCTCCGCAGGAGTTGAGTCTCATGAAACAAACAGTGGAGAGAATAAGGGGAAATGTTGGTGAGATTGTGGCTCATATATTGAGTTTCAAGAATTTTTCTTTAATAGAAGCTTTCTACGGAACATGCAGAAGGCTGCAGAGTTTGATTAAATATAAGATCGAACCCGAGCTGGACATAAGAATCGGAGATGAAGTAGTTTCCGATAAGCAGAATGATACTCCGCTCTTAGAAATCTTTGAGTTTTTTTAAGGTTCCTACTTGTTAACTATAAGTGTTTTTTTATAAGGCAATGTCTGACTTCTTTGTGTTTTAGTGGCAAGTTATAGAAAAGTGAAAAAAAGGTTGCATAATACTAAAATCCTATTTCAGATTGCAATAAAAATAAATTTCTAAGAGGAGACATCCAAAAGAAACAGCTCTTCAAGAGTCTGAGAATGTGGAAACTTTCTATGGAGCAGCGAATCCATGTCAAGAAAGGAGCTTTGTCGTCAATTCACTTGAAGCATCTCCACAGACCGGATACAAATGGATTCGATCAGACCATGCATTCATGTCTCTTGAATCGATCTCGGAAATGCATTTCCAAACAGCACTGTTAGCCTTAAACCCACTCCCAAAACCAATCTGCCATACACGATCTCCCTTTTTCATTCTACCTTTCGCCTCCAAGTATTGCAGCTCATACCACAGTGAAGACGAAGATGTGTTCCCATATCGGTACAGCGTTGTCCTTGACGCTTCTCCATCTTCTTTGTCTAGCTTCAGATGCTTTTCCACTCCCTCGATTATCGCCCTTCCTCCGGCATGTATACAGAAATGCTCAAAAGCTTTCTTGAAGTTGGGTGTGTATACCTCCTTGTGCAATCCCCATTTTCTTTGGATGAATGAGATTACGTATTTGAGCTGCTCTGAGTAAGGTAGCACCCGAGGGCCTAATTCGACCACGTTGATCTTCAGGGCCTTTGATGCTACCTTGACAAGTTGCTTGGACAAAGCTACTCCAACTAGTCCTTCCTCATCAATCTGCTGCATTACACTCTCATAGGATTCATTGTCTGATCCGACATGAGTTCTAATAAGATGCTGGAGTTTGTATTTCGCCTTATGCTTATCTTGCTTCTTGTTGGAGAGAAGAATAGCCGCACCACCCATTCTGAATATGGTGTTAGCAATGAGCATTGACTTGCACTTTCCTTTGTAACCATTTGGACTCACCGCTTCCATGCTCAACACTAGGGCCAAAGAGTCACCATGAATCTTCATAAGATCTTTTACGAGGTTTATCGAAAGAAGCCCCGCGCTGCAGCCCATTCCACTCAAGCTGAAGCTCTTTACGTTGCTCCTCATGCCAAACCTGTTTATAATCATAGCGGTTATGGATGGAGAAGGACAGAATAGGCTGCAGTTAGACACAAGGATGTCAATACTCTTTGGATCTATCTTATGCTTTGAGAAAAGGTCTTCGACTATAGTAAAGAGGATCTCATGAGTTTCTTCTCTAGCTGCAGAGAGAGAAGAGTTTGGTGGAATCTCGTGGACTGTCACAGGCACGCTCGCGTCATCTCCGATCCCTGACCGCTCTAGAATCTTCTGCTGAAGATCAAGGCTTTCTTGATCAAACACACCGGATATCGTAAGATGCTCGATGAAATTGGAGACCGGAGCTCGCAAGAAGTCTGGAGGTTGATAACATGAGAAGTCAATGAGGTATATACATCTTGGTCTGAAGAAATAGTAACCAAATACAGCTATGAGGACGCAAGCTGATGCTGCGAGGAAGTGAGGGAAGCTCACAAGGAGAGCTTGATCGATGAACGAAAAACTCGATTCCATGTTCTCAATGTTGATGGATATAAACTGAGAAAAAGAGAGAAGCAAGATGGTGAAAACAGAGGACTTGTGTTTAGTTTCGAATATTGATTATAGTTGTTTACCATAAAGGAAATGAGAAGACCTCTAAAGTTTGTTGCATCACAGGGTAAGCATGTGAAGGGAACCAAAATTCAGTTCTCGTGACCCATCATTTGCATCATTTCAAGGGACATGAAGATTACGTGTCTGTTGAGAAGACTCTGTCTCTCTGTTACTAACCTCAAATCTCTCTCATCAACTCCTCCATTGGAGTGTTTGTAAAATTCAGACTAAACTCTAAAACATTGGGAAAGATTTGTTTCAATGTTTCATGTTACTATTGTAAAGTGAGAATCTTGAATTTGTAAATCAGGAAGAAATTAATAAAATTATGTGAAGTAAAATAATTTGAGTTATATAAATGGAAGAGCTGAGTGAAGTTCAGAGAGCTTACTTTTTTAATCCCAAATTCTTCATTTGTTCTCCAATGGAAACTCCGTACCCGAAACTCATCGATCCTTCGAAAACTCGAATCGGATGGATTGGGATCGGAATAATGGGATCAGCCATGGTCTCTCATATCCTCGCCGGAGGCTATTCAGTCACCGTCTACGCTCGTGATCACCGAAAGTCAAAGGATCTACAAACCAAAGGAGCTCGAACCGCCAACAGCCCCAAAGAGCTTGCAGAGATGAGTGACGTTGTGTTCACCATCGTCGGAAACGCTAACGATGTCCGATCGTTGCTTCTCGGTCCCGATGGTGTACTCTCTGGTCTTAAACCAGGTGGAGTAACCGTTGACATGACTAGCAGCAAGCCAGGACTAGCGCGTGAGATTTACGCGGAGGCGAGACTGAGAGATTGCTGGGCGGTAGACGCGCCGGTGTCGGGTGGTGACGCCGGAGCACGCGAAGGGACGCTGGCGATTTTCGCCGGCGGAGATTCCGAGATCGTTGAGTGGTTATCTCCGGTGATGAAGAACATGGGGAATGTAAAGTATATGGGAGGAGCAGGGAATGGACATAGCTGCAAAATCGGGAATCAGATCTGCGCTGCAGGCAACATGGTGGGACTCGCTGAAGGGATTGTATTCGCCGAGAAAGCTGGTTTAGATCCAATGAGATGGCTCGAGGCGGTGAAGGACGGTGCGGCTGGATCGGCGGTTATGCGACTGTTCGGAGAGATGATGGCGAAGAGGGATTATAAACCGACAGCGTTTCCGAAGTATATGATTAAAGATTTGGGAATGGCGGCGGAGGAAAGTGACGTGGCGGCGGCGGCATTGCCCGGAGCTGCTTTGAACAAGCAGTTATTCTCTGGAATGGTGGCGAACGGTGATGGTAAGTTAGGGTTTCAAGGCGTTGTCTCTGTTATTAGGAGACTTAACCACATTCCCTGATAACACTTTGTGTTAACGGTACAAACTTGTGTTTGATTTTGTGTGTAGTTTTGATTTGAAGTTGATAATAGTAACATCATTGTGTTACTTATCACTCTATAAAAGGTTTGCATTTGATAAGATTTACAGCTCATGAGTATCCAAAGTGGATTATCAAACTCTGATTCTATAAAAGTGTCGCTCGCGTCACCACTGCTCTAAGATCTTCCGCTGAAGATCAAGGCGTTCTCTATGAAACACACCGGATATGGTAAGAAGTCTGGAGGTTGATAACATGAGAAGTCAATGAGGTTTATACATCTTGGTCTGAAGAAATAGTAACCAAAGACAGCTATGAGGAAGACAGGCTGATGCTATCAGGAAGTGGGGAACCTCGTAAAGGTCTGGGAGATAAAGAAAGCTCGATTACATGTTCTCGATGTTGATGGATCTAAACAGAGAAAAGAAAGATGGTGAACTTATAGTTTGTGGGACTCGCTGAAGGGATTATATTCGCTGAGAAAGTGGGTTTAGATCCAATTAGTTTCCGGATTGGATTATCAAACTATATAAGAAAAAAATTGAGCTCAATAAAATGAAATTGAGTGAAGTCTAGAGAGCTGACCTTTTTTGTTTCCCTCATCTTCCTTCTCTAATGGAAACTCCATACCCAAAACTCATCGATCCTTCGAAAACTCGAATTGGATGGATTGGGATCGGAATAATGGGATCAGCCATGGTCTCTCATATCCTCGCCGCAGGCTATATCGTCACCGTCTACGCTCGTGACCACCGAAAGTCAAAGGATCTGCAAACCAAAGGAGCTCGAACCGCAAATAGCCCCAAAGAGCTTGCAGAGATGAGCGATGTTGTGTTCACGATCGTCGGAAACGCTAACGACGTCCGATCGCTTCTTCTCGGTTCCGATGGTGTACTCTCCGGTCTTAAACCCGGTGGAGTAACCGTGGACATGACTAGCAGCAAGCCAGGACTAGCGCGTGAGATTTACTTGGAGGCGAGACTGAGAGATTGCTGGGCGGTAGACGCGCCGGTGTCGGGTGGTGACGCCGGAGCACGCGAAGGGAAGTTAACGATTTTCGCCGGCGGAGATTCCGAGATCGTTGAGTGGTTAACTCCGGTGATGAAGAACATGGGGATTGTAAGTTATATGGGAGGATCAGGGAATGGACAAAGCTGCAAGATCGGGAATCAGATTTGCGTTGGTAGTAACATGGTGGGATTAGCGGAAGGGATTGTGTTCGCCGAGAAAGCCGGTTTAGATCCGGTTAAATGGCTCGAGGCGGTTAAGGACGGTGCGGCTGGATCGGCGGTAATGCGGTTGTTCGGTGAGATGATGGTGGAGAGGGATTATAAAGCGACGGGGTTTGCAGAGTATATGGTGAAAGATTTGGGAAT